CGAATTAATGAAATTAGTAGAATCATCTATGGACAAGTTTCAATTCCAATCATCCTCACAAACTAATTAAGGTCGGCATCGATTCATTATTGACCAAATTGATAAAAAATGGAATAAACTCCAACTCCATTACAAGTACATGATTTTTTTTATTTTTTTTTTCAATTAAGAAAATGAACATTTTTACTATGAATCATATTGATCAGTCAACCATCAATAGTTGATGGAGCGATTGTGGAAACCACACATGTTAGCTAAAAATAAAATGAGACAAATTTAAAGAGACAGGCAAAGGGGTACATAGATTATTGATTAGTTAGTTATGTCAATTAATTAATATAATAAATCTCCAACCAAAAAAATTAAAATGGTTTAATTATGGATTAACGAATGGGGACCATTCACTACACTTTTGATTGTAACTAATCTTTGGATTGGTCATTTTTCCCCCTTTATAATTAGCCACCTTAATTATATTAATTGTGGTGGATTTGCAATCACAGTTGACAATAATCACATCAATGCCATTTGTCTAAACTACATTGCTTCACCCCCTCTACCCTCAACGCTAATATTGCCAAAAAGCTATGCATTATGATTAATAATTTTGGTTGTTTGAATATAACCATGTTTTCATGATGGTTTATGCATATAATTAATTTACGTGTCAATTTTCTCATCCAATGTAAGCAAAGAGACTTGGAAAGTCCCTCTGGGTTCTAGAGTTCAAATCATTTTACAGGTTGAAATTGATTAAGCAAAGAGTTAGGGCCTGTTCTCTTACGTTGAAATTCAGTTCAGTTCAGTTCAGCTCAGTCAGTTCAGTTCAGCTCAACTCCTAATTTCCTTCTCTTATAAAATATTTATTTCAGTTCAGTTCAGTTCAATTCAGTTCAGCTCAGTTCAGTCAATGAGAACATATCCTTATATATAGGTTGTGACGTAACTCTATTCGTTTGGAGTTAGTCTGAAAAATCCTTTATTTTAAGTTTGTCTCAAGTAATGTTTAAACATTTTTGTTTATAAATTTTAAACTTATATTTCCGATCTCTTGATTAAAGATATAGTTGCATATATCACATGTCTCTTAGTCCTTGAACCTAAAGACAAAATTAATAAGTTTTTAAGAACCTTAACTATAAGTATATTTTTTGTGTGTAAAAGTCTTGAAATAATACAATATACGTAGTATATGAGATTTGATATTAAAGAGTATACCAATATTATCATGCAATCAAATTATCTTTTCTTTCCTTTAAAAAAAAATAAATAATAAAATGCTCTACTTTATTCACTCGGTTGCTTCATTTCTAATTACCACGTGCGGTGACACGATATTGCTTGATGGCTTATTCCTTTCTAGCTAATCCACTCCACTGCTTGTCGCGTTCCCATATTAACCACACTTACGTTTCTGTCGTGTAATCGTGTTACTCGTGCGGGATTTTTTTTTTCAATGATAATTGATAAGTTTATGGTCCTGTTTGGGAGTTAGCTGATACTTGTTAGAGATTAGGTGGTTGAGTTAGCTGATTTGACTAGCTGATTATGGTAGATGATTTAACTAACTGATTATATTAGTTGTTTGTGTAAAACTGTTTGGTAAATAGCGGTTAGCTATAAGCTGTTTTTGAGATCAGATGACCAAAAAGCTCCTAATATGAGCTTTTTGAAAAAGAGCTTTTTTATCCCAAAACTCTCTTCCAAACCTCTAACTACCAAGCCAGTTCTTTTCAAGCCTTACAGCTGGTGAGATAAATCAAAGAGATCAGGAGCAGGAGGTATGTAGTTGCTTATGCGAAGCATAAGGAAAGAGATTCCATTTGACTAAAATGTTTATGGGGTATTTTTACCATTCTTGCTCTAGGTCTATCCCTAAAGAGAAAGGACTTTTTTTAGTCTTGAATTTCAGGTTTAATAACTTAGCTGGATTGGTTACACTGTCTACTAGAGTATGCTAGAGCTTGCAGGCCGAGCCTCCTCATTCTGCTATGCCCGGTAGTCTAAAGCACGGTTCAACTGCGGTGTGTAATGTGATGTCTGAATTGCCCATTAAGGGCTGACTCCGCCAGGCAAAGGCAAGAGGACCACTACTGTGATGTAACTGATGATCAGTGGACTCTTCTTCCTCTACTACTGAGACTGACCGACCTGCTAAGAGGTATGAAGTCGCTTATTAAAGCTTAAGGACTGATTTTCTCTATTAGAATAGAAAGAATTCTTAACCGCTTTCACACCTTTCCTTTTTTGAGAAGGTCTAAGATCTACCGACTGATCCGGGGAGTATGGCGTGCGTGTTCTTCTTTGTCTTTAACCTGTCTGTAAGAACTAATAGTAAGAAAAGACTTCCTTCCTTATGAGGAGATTTCCTTTCAACTCGTGTAAACTCTCAACTACAGAATGAGTACCCCATCCTAATAATAATAAAGTCCCGCTCATGGATGAGGGTCCTCCTCCGTCTGGGAGCACCTGCCTCCCATCGATCCAGCGCTTGTGGCTGCAGCCATGCTACGGATCCAGCGCCGCATTCGCGCTCTGGAAGACAGCAAACGGATTTGGTTCTGAATTGTTGCTAGCCTTTCTGAGGTAGGGATATCCATTGTTTTTTTACTTAAAGTTTTTCTTCTACCTCTCTCTTTGAAAATATAGACTGAAAGAAGCTTCTATTTATAGGCCTTGGACGCGCTTAACTCTTTCTTATTATTAGTAATAAATAATTGTTGTCTTAGTTTCATAACATGTTTCAACCCCGGCTTTTCATGAATATGGAACCAGATCCACTAGATTTTAGTGTGCTTAATAATTCTCTTCGTACGGATTGGAGTACGAAAGGCCCTGCCCCACACCCATTACTTTTACACCTTTTAACCATTAAGCGTAAAACCTCGAAATACGAATGACCCCAAATAGCTTATTGAGTTGGTCAAACCTCTCTTTCCTCTCAAACATCTCTTTTTTCCTAAAACCTCTTAACTCCCAAACACCCCCTATATGTTTTACACAAAAAAAACTCATAAAATTAAAGTTTTCTAAGCTTATTAAGGATAATTTTAACCATTGTTTAAGGTTTTGGACTTTTAGTAAGCTATCCTAACCACTACATTACCAAACACTCAGATCATATTTTTTTTTTGTTAAATAATTAAAAAAGGTACTCTAAAGCTACTGCAGAACACACCTTTGTCATCCTATAAGGGATAACACCATTACAGCCTTATCAATTTCCTTCATTGAGATCAAGTTTTTAATAAAGAAGTGATTAGTGCATGTTTAGAATTTTAAAATTAAATTACCAAGTGTGCCGTGTGCTTGTGGATTGTTATAAATTTTAGGATTAGTGGCTTATTGCACATGAAATTGTTGGTGCATGCATTTATTTGCTATGTTAAACTTACATATATTTATTCTTTCCTTTGTTGAACTTTGTTGAACAGAAGAAATTAATTAAGTGAAGCAATATACAACGAAAATTTAATTGTGATAAGAATACTTGTTGTGTGGATTTGTGTTATTAGTGGAATATGATTAAGATTATTACATAAAGAAGGGGAGTTTTTGTACGCTTAGTTTGGCTTTATTAAGATTTCTATTTTTTTTTTCGTATTAGTACATGCTAGATTATCGATTAGTGAATTGTTAAATACCGCCAACAAAATTTATCAAACCGCCAACATTTCAAGTAAAGGGACAACATTGCCCTTACTAAAATCTTCCCCATATTCTTTCTCTTAACTTCATTCCATGATTTCCATCCACCACTTCTAAAGCAACCACATCAACCACCACCAATCACACCACCGGTACCACCCACGCCACCATGTCGACCACTACAAACCCACAACCACCGCGTCAACCACCACCATCTACACCAGATTGCCAAGAATAATAACAGTTAATCAATATAATTATCTACAACAATAGTAATAAAATTAATTATAATTATTTTGTAATAATAATAACAATTAATTAGAATAAGTTTTGAATAAAAAAAAAGTTGTTGGCTAACGACGCTCAAAACCGGTTGGCCGCCACCGGTAATCGGCGGTCAAACCGATTGACCAGCACGGTCAACCGGTTTTGGCCGTCGGTTACCGGTGGCGGCCAACCGGTTTTGAGCGTCGTTAGCCAGCCAGCGGAATTTAAAAAAAAAAACTTAAATTCAAAACAAAAGGATAATAGGCAAATTTACCTCATTCCCCGGTTTCCAGCCATGTCCCCAATGTCAACCACCGTCATCCATGTATGCGCCACCACCTCTTGAACGCCGCTGACTGGTACGTCGGTTGTCTCTGTGGTGGTGGTGGTGGTGGCTATTTTTGGGGATCTTGAGGGGTTGTTGATGAGAGAGAAAAAAGAAAGAGGAGAAAGATGGGTTTGGGTTTAGTATTTTAGTAAGGGCAATAATGACATTTTGCTTAAAAAGTTGGCGGTTTTGATAATTTTTGTTGGCGGTATTTAACACCTCCCTAAAATTATAGGAGTAAATGTAAAGTTTGTTTATTGATTTTAAAAATTGAGCATTAAAATTCAAGTTTGTACGTGTCAATTAAGCATTTCTCAAAGGATAATAAACAAATATCCTCAACAAAAAAATACACTGTACTAAATATATCAAGATCCAAGAGTACACATCCATAAAAAAAAATAAAAAAATAAAAAAAAATCAATACATCAAACATCACCGTCTAGGCTCTAGAGGAAAATGAATATAATGTGTAGTATCCATTTACACTAATTTTATATAACAAACAATACATGCTGATAAGTTTTTATCTCTTGTAATATGCATAGTATGCATTTTGTTTTTGAACCACATACGAGTAGTATGCAGCATTACATAAATTATTTTGTAGAATTGTCATATTAGTAATAGAACACAATCTAAATATCGAAGTAAAATGAATAAATAAAATAGCAAAATTTAGTCGAAAAAACCTTTTAATTCTTTATTTTTTTGGCAATATAAGACATGTTTGTAAAGCTAAGACAACAAACCCTTACTTTCCAACATAGACTTGTTATTTTTTGGCGTCGGCCCATCACATGCCCTTTTTCTTTTCCAACTATTTTCATCCCATTTTTTTTATTCCCCTCTAAGGGCCTGTTTACTTCATCTTAATTTCAATTCAGTTTAGTTTAGTTCAGTTTCAATCAGTTCAATTCCACCCCCAATTTCCTTCACTCATTAAATATTTATTTTAGATCTATTCAGTTCAGTTTAGTTCCAATCAATTCAGTTCAATAAATGCGAATAGACCCTAATTCTCGTTTTATAAAGTCAGTCATAAAATTTGATGTTAAAGCCCGACCCAACCCGTATTTTTTAATCACTTTGTCCCAAGACTCCCAACTTCTAATTCTTATGGTCCATACTCGTAAGATTTGTAATATTGGTAGTAGGCCCTCCAAATCTGTTAAATACGGAGTACCTTCCAAAACAAAATTAAAAAAAAAAAACAATTTTTATTTTTTATTTTTTACTTTTTAGAAAAAAAAAAAAAAAAAAAACTATCTATATAAATAGACTAATAGACTCCCGCTGTTTTAACACCCCGCGTCCTCTCATCTTCAACACTCAAACTAAAATCTCTGTATTTCTCAATTCTCATGGATTCTATCAAACATTGTTCAGTCATCATTATCGGTGCTGGAATCTCCGGTAAAACCACCATTAATCCTACTTCAATAAAAAAAATTCAAATAAATTCCAAGAATATCTCCATTAATGCTCTGTTTTTCACAGGTATATCGGCGGCAAAGCAACTCGCCGATAATGGCGTAGAAGATGTCGTAATTCTCGAAGCTTCGAATAGAATCGGCGGTCGAATTCGTAAGGAGCAATTCGCCGGAGTCCCGGTCGAACTCGGCGCCGGTTGGATTGCCGGCGTAGGTGGTAAACAGTCCAACCCGGTTTGGGAGCTTGCTAATCGGGCCGGGTTACGTACTTGCTTCTCTGATTATAGTAACGCCCATTTTAATATTTATGACCGAGGGTTCGATTTTTCTCTCTTTAATTTCAGTTTAAATGATTAAAAATAGAAGGAAATTATACAAAATTTGAATTAATTTTGTGGAAATTTGGCAGTGGGAAGATATTTCCGAGTGGAATTGCAGCTGATTCGTATAAAAAAGCGGTTGACTCGGCAATTCAGCGACTCAAGGATGAAGTTGATAACACCAATGAGCCTCCCAAGTAATTTCGGAGTAAAACTTTTTTTTTTTTTTAAAAAAAAATTTAATTTTTGTCGCACATTTTTTAGTTATATATATTAATTTCGAAATTATATTAATATTTTTTTTTTCAAATATCTATTTCTTTAAATTTGCAGTTTGCCGAAAACTCCAATTGAATTGGCAATTGATTTTATCCTTCATGATTTTGAAATGGCCGGTGAGTTATTTATTTACTCATATTTTATTTATCTATTTTTATTCTAACTTTGGGGTAAATTGTAATATTGAACGATTTCTAGTGTGCACCGTGACATAATGAAACTCCAAGGCTATTCACTCTTTAGGGTTGTACTCGTAATAAATATTGTGCTAGTAGACACGGATCACACGATTTCTATTGTGCACCGGGACATAAGTAAACTCCAAGCCTATTTTTTTGTTTGTACGATTGTACAAGTAGACACGATTTCTATTGTGCACTAGGACATATGTAAAAAACACGGATTCTATTTAGAATGATTTTTTAGCATACCATATGCATTCATAATACAATCGAGTGTATACGGAGAGTAAGAATAAAGGAGATGCGCTATTGGTAATTATACAAACATATCTCATCTTTTTATTGTGCACCACTTTACTACTTTGATATGACAATTGAACTTAACTATGATTACACAAATTCAAGGAAGATATAAAGGTAAGTTATTTTAATGATCTTTAGCATAATTGATTGAGGAAAAGTGAGGTTAATATAATATGAAATGTTGTTAATTGCAGAAGTGGAACCAATATCAACATTTATTGATTTTGGAGAAAGGGAATATCTAGTTGCTGATGAAAGAGGGTACGAGCATTTGTTATACAAATTGGCTGAAACGTTTCTGTTGACTTTTGATGGGGAGATATTGGATAATCGGCTCAAACTCAACACGGTAATTATTTATTTTTTGATTAAGTAACGAATTCATTAACTAAAAGTCATACAATATGATTGTTTTAAATTAAACACGGTGTTAGTATAATATAATCGCTGTGAATTTTTTAATCTATTTTGGCAAATAAAGGTAAAACAAATTAAGTTAATTTGTTTCAACAAGAATAAAGATGAAATATTTAAAGTGGTGTAATTTTGCACGTTTCAATTCTTAGCTGGGAGACGTTGTATGATAATGATACCTTTGTTGAAGTTGTGTTTTTGTTGGTTATCTCTGTTTTTGTTTTTTTTATAAATGGGGAAAGTGATCAATTCAATGAGCAGTTATAAGTTTGTTGTTTTAGGCTGTATGAATCATTATTATCACGTAATCCAAATTTATATGCCTGTTTTCTCAATCTAACTTATGTCATGCAACATCCTTTAGCTTTCAAATTGTAATACGTATCATTTTTGTTTAGAATTGGCTCTGGTTTTGACTTAAATTAGCAAATAGATAAGCCAATTATGATAATGACACAAATGATGATGATGACAACGACAATGACAATGACAATGACAATGAGGGTAATATGATAATCAATATGATTTTGTCACGGATCTTAGCTAATTATGTCATTATTAGTAAGAATAGTTAAAAACGACAACTTAGCTTGTCTTATTCGGCAGTTGAAGCTCATTTTGTTTATGTAGTTTGTACGAGTCTTATTTTTTTATTTATTTATTTATTTTTTCTCGTAGTGTAGAAAGGGCTATGAATATCAATAGCAATATGGCATAGATGAAATTCAATCCGATTCAAAGTATATCTGGATTACCATTCCAAAATCTATGATATTGATCAGAGTTAATATTAGAAACATTGAATTAAGATATATAGCTGTCATTATTATGTTAATGCATGGGTTAGAAGATCTGATTTGATATCTGAAAATGAAATGTGTTGATATAGGCTTGGCTGTAGTTAGCTAGCTGGGTTGGGTGGTGTGTTTGAGTCTTGACCATCATTTAATTTTGCAGATTTGCACATGCACACATCAAATTGTGCAATGAAATAAATAGAATTCCTCCTTTTTCCTATTTTCATGACCCAATCAAACAGAGCCTTGTTTGACCTATCCATATTATGATTCCTAATCATACAGTAATGAATTGTGATGATTTTCTTCTTGACTCTCCTCAGTTGTTATTTGCATCATGGGTCCCACATATCTTGCACTACCTTTTTACTGTGCCCCATATTTGTATGTTGCAATTTGCAAAAGGTTACAATACTAGCTAGATTACTAGCTACCTATTAATATAATGAAATGTCAAATCAGACTTAAAACCATGCAAGTCAATGAATCCTCCTCCTCTTTTTTATGTAAACTTGATTTAAGGTTACCTTATTCCATAACACTGTGTCAGTGGACCAATTTAACCAAAAGTTTAAACTTATGGTTGAGGTTCAGGAACATGTTTTATACTCTATCACACTGGTTAGAACAATACTACGTTTGATTTTAAGGCTTAACGTTCAATGCACTGTGGTTGGTTAACTATCGTCACATCATAAAATTTGCTATTATGCCGACTCTTTATTACAGTAAGATCTAACAACACTTTGATAACAGTAGAAGATTGATTGTAGATGCACATGTTCTTCTTTAGTATACTGTGTAATGTTATTATATTAAGGTAACTCTACATTTTAACTTGATGTATTGATTGAAAAGCTCCCACTGACTCAAGGTGGGGTCATTTCTAAAATTTAATAGCTCAAATCATAAAAAAATCATGTAAAAAAATTTGTACTATTGAATATGTGATGATGATTGTGGTGGCGGTCGCTTGAATTCTATGTGCAATGTAATGTTATTATTTTATTTTTCTAAGGTGGTAAAATTGGTCCTCTAGCTAAAATTTAATAATTTTTATTCTTATCATCTTAATTAATCAAGCTATATTTTTTGGAGTTAATCATGTACGTTTATGGCTTATGGGCAGGTTGTTCGAGAAATTCAAAACTCGAGGAGCGGCGTTACGGTAAAAACGGAGGATGGTTCCATCTACGAGGCTAGTTATGTGGTTTTGTCTGTTAGCATTGGCGTACTCCAAAGTGATCTTATTTCTTTTCGGCCTCCTTTACCCGTACGTATCCCTTCTATTCTTGTGTACACGTATAATATACTCCATACTCTGTATTGTACTCCGATTTTTATGCATATGTACTCCATGTATTGCACATTGGTGAACCACAGGATGTGTTATGTAGTAATTCATGTTTTTTCCTAGATCTTATATGTTTTCCTCCAATGTGAGATTCTAATGAACATGTATGGTTTATTTTACACATTTTTCGGTTCATGGCTTCATTTTATATGCATCCTCGGTTCATGGCTTCATGCAACCGGTACCATTCTATTGGGATTTAGGCTGTGACATTGTTGTTGTGGTAGGAAGTATATAATGTTTTACATCTATAGTTGTATTTTATGTATAGTACCACCCAACTTATGGATATAACCATTGATAGTATTATTACTGCTAGGATACATGGTCCACAAGATCACAATAGGCTAAGTCCCTGGTTAAGTTGTCCTCTGCTGCGGACTTGTATAGTTTCTGACATTTGATTCTAAGCATTTTAGATCTTACAAGTGAACTAAGGAATATGAGTTAATCAAATACGGAGTTCTAAATAGAAGCCACGGTTATGTCCACGTGCATTCAGCTGCTATATGTGATTTTTCTTTGTTTTGTCTGGTCTTTTAGCAACTCACAATTCGGAAGTATAGCCATGACTACCTTATAGTCTTATATGGCTGATTTTAGTAAATGATCATTGCAGTCCATCACCACATAGAAAATGTATTGAAACTTTAAAGTTCATATTGATTTATGATATAAGGGAAAATAAATTTGGTGGGTGCAACGAACTAGATTAAGAATTGGACCACTCTCAAAAGCTAAATATTATCTTGTTGGTAAACTTGCAGGCATTCTGGCCTGCCCTGTGGACCCATAAATCTGTGAGATAGGTACAGCTATCTCACTATAGTACATGAGAATATCACATAATGTCATTTTCAGATGAAGTGATAGTAGTCTGAAGTATAAAATTCGTTCTGTTGAGGACTAATGGCCTAAATTTTAGTTCGAGATTGTGAAATGCTGTAACATAAAGACGGTCATGTATTCATTTTCTGATTATTTCAGTGATGCAATGGTGTATTTTTCTTATGTAATGACTCTTTCCGTGTTTGAAACAGAGGTGGAAGACAGAAGCCATAGAAAAATGTGATGTGATGGTATATACAAAAATCTTCCTCAAGTTTCCATCTAAGTTTTGGCCTTCTGGGGTGGAGAAAGAGTTCTTTATCTATGCACATGAGAGGAGAGGCTACTACACATTCTGGCAGGTGTGTTTGAGGCTTCATATATCTAGCTAGTGAATCTTCTTTCTTGTATCTTTTTTGCGGAGGCATTATAAAATTTACATAAAGTGGTGTGTTGGTGGCCTTGGTGCGCTCTGCATTTTTCCCTTTACACAATGAAATCATTTCAGATCATCTTTTATTTAGTCACAAAGAGATTAACATGGTGGATTAGTGGGGTCTTTTGATGAACTTTAAGTTTTTTATGGCTTCATATTCCATGAAAAAGGATTAATCTGAGCGGTTTGGTTTATCAGAATGTCTGAATGCGCTCTCCTTGATTCCTTTTGATTATTTGGATAGAGGATCCACCCTCATTAAAATGTTATTTTGGTGGCTCCTGATGTGAGGATTCTCCTCAACAAATCCAAAAACTGACTCACTTTGAACAAGAAAAAAAAAAAAACGGTTTTACTTTAGGTTGTGTTTGGGAAGATAGATTTTATTTCAAATGCATCATTTGAATTATTGAATTTGAGTATTTCAAATGACATGGTTTACCTTGTCATTTGAAATCCTTACCTTCATGGGTTATTACTTGGTAGTTGTATAATTTGGGCAAATTCCTCATTTGAAATTCTTGGACATCCAAACACTATAATTGTCCCAATTCCGGAATTTCAAATGAAATTCTAGAATCCAAACACACCATTAAATAATTTGGAGTGAGTCTGCCACAAATTACGGCATCACTTTAGTTGTTTAGATATCACTCATATCAGGCAAACTCTTTTAACGATGTAGATTGTTATGTTGAAAGAAATTAGTTTTTGTTGTTGAAATACTTAGTGTTTTCTTTTTAGCTTTTGGTGTTGCTCCTAATCCTATCTTATGGTATAGTGGCTTGTGTGTACCATGTCCCTTGCTATACATGGCAACTGTTTCTTGAAAAATGTGTCAAGATTAACTGTGTGCTGTGGAAGTCAGTCCATGGTTTTTATTTTATCAGCCAATGGTCACAATATTGGGGAACAAAGTTGTTGAACTTGACATAAGTTTGATTGAGATGTTTACCATATTTAACTAATGTGTCATGTGTTTAGCTTCCTGTGGACAATTTGAGTCATATTTCCTGTGATTTCCATTCGTGGTGTCAGTTAATTGCTGCATGATAAAATACCAAGATTTTGAGTATTTTTTCCTCAGTATAGTTGTTCTGAGTTTCTTCAAATCTGACCACAGTTGCTTATGTATTATTGACTTGTCAACAGCACATGGATAATGCCTATCCAGGATCTAATATACTCGTTGTAACATTAACAAATGACGAGTCTAAACGTGTTGAGGCTCAATCCGACCAAGAGACTCTCAGAGAAGCCATGGAAGTTCTGAAAGATATGTTTGGCCCTGATATACCAGATGCTACAGACGTACTTGTCCCTCGCTGGTGGAATAATCGTTTTCAGAGGGGCAGCTATAGCAACTACCCCATTATTTCCAACAATAAGGTTGCACGAGACCTTAAGGTACTTGAATTCTCATGGACAGATTGACTGCATTTCCTGTTGTTTTAATGTTTTCTGCATTAAGCCTTCTTAAGGTGACATTATAATTGAAGAACATAACGGAGTACTATCTCCTTTGATTCACGGTTTGTCATATAACTGTTTAGCAAATTAGCTTATTCACTGTTTTTTTTTTTTTTTTTGGATCAGGATCCTGTAGGGCGCATCTTTTTCTCAGGAGAGCATACCAGTGAGAGGTTTAATGGCTATGTTCATGGAGGATATCTCGCAGGTAAATGCTGTCAAATTTGATATCATGATCCTATTGATGCAGCATAGCATATATAATGTGGGTGTCTAATCAAAACATATATAATTAGGTATTGACAGTGCAAACGCTTTGTTGGAAGAAATGACGACAGAAAAGGGAAGAAAAACCGACATTAGCCAACCTTTTCTATTGGAACCCTTGCTAGCACTAACAGGATCACTGACATTACCTCAAACTGAGAAAGTATCAAACCTTCATAAGTACGAGCTGCCTAGGCAAATCTTCCTTGGCAGTAACCTAGGAATGCCAGAAGCCATCTTATGACTAAATGGATCAGTCACTGGTGAACAATTAGTTAGATTTCAGGGGTGCACTTGCCAAGACAACAAGCAGAGCAGGCTCAAGTGCATGACCAGCACGGGGCATTGGCTGGGGAGCAGCCAAGTCCACACTGTGGTTTTTCCCCATTAAGCTAAAACTAAATAATAGTGACACAGGTGGGGAGCTGCGTGCATTGGCTGGCGCGGTTGATGTATAATTACGGAAAGTCTAATTTGATAAGTTGAACAGTATATGATTCGGATTTGCTGATACCTAGATAGGAATAAAGATATTGATTGAAGTGATGAAGTGGATTTCAGGTAGAGTTTAGTAATTTTGGTACGTATATGATTATCTGATGGTAACTTTCTTGTTGTTTGAACTCAAAGATTCATATTGTAAAGACAAATTACATTGGCATTTTAATTTAATTTAAATCTGTTTACAAATCCAAATACTACTAAATTCTGTCTCATCAGTACACTACTACACTGCACCTACAATGATTTTGTATCCGGCTGCTGCCATGGAAGCTTTGGTTTGGTTCTTCCAATTTGGACAACAATGATACTGAAAGTGGGGAGCTGTATCCATTGGCTGGTTTAATTTACCTCGTTTTCACGTAAGATACTAAGATTGAAGACATTTGATTTATACAACTATGAACTCCAGGCATACAATTTGCAATTTCTAGTAGGAAATTCTCTGCAGCATTTTATACTTTTTTACCATTCTATTCTAGGAAAGATTCAAATTGAAAAGATAATTAAAAAAAGACCAAACATTAAATATAAATATTCTCAAGACTGCAAAATGCAATTTCACAACAAAATTGTTTACAGAAAAATAAAAGAAACAAACTGCTGTGCATCTCTGAAAGTCTGAATGTACTCGCCTTTGACAGAATGACAGGTGCTCAGCAGCCAAAATTGTTTATAAAGCTAAAGTCCCTAGCTGAAGTATTTTTCATACATTTTCTTAGATACAGAAAGTGTATCTCCTCGAGCCTTAAGAGGATAGATCTTCGTATCAGATTGCCATTTGTTTGAATACGATATCCAATTTCTTCTCCATACATCAATCTCAAAGGTCTCATTATCTTTCAGGGCTTTTCTGAGATGATCAAAATATGTTGCTGCACGAGGATAATGATAGTCTTCCAATAGTCCGCTCCAGAATTTGCTAGCTAAAAGAGCACACTAACTAGTGATAGTATACCTTTGTTTAGTTATAAATGACACCAACAGTCAACAAAACGTTGGCGCCTACAGGCTACAGAGCAATTGAAGATGAAGAGAATAAGCCCACACAACCAATATAGTATTAAACATAACTTGTAGGAGAGTATGAAGTGGGGATTCTACCATTGAGCTTCCACCTCCAAACCTTGAGGTTAAGGGGGAGGGGGTATCCGGTATCTGATTATTACACGACATTTCTTAAACTGAGACTTTCAGTATCACTCCTTTTAAAGAGTCATAGGGGTTGTGCCCTCCAAGAGTCCAAGGGAAAATACTTACTGTAACAACAAAAATAATGACAATTACTAGGAATAGTAGATTTTACCATAATCATGGACCTTGCTTTGATGGTTTTCTGTCGTATCAAACCACATAGTAACTTGAGTCCTCGCGTTCCACTCATACTGCAACAAAAGCCAATTGCATTAAAAACAGGAGTTTAGGTCTCACCATACCATGGAGGTCCGATTTTCAACACTTATGGTCATGGATCATAGGTTGGAGGACTTGTATCATCATCTTACTCTTATTGTGTCACAACAAAATGAAGATTATATCTGACCTGCCTCATCTCTTCAGGATTTGTAGCCATTCTTTTTGCACTATCTAGCCAAGTCCCAAGAAGAAAATTGTCATCAGTAGCAACAACTTCGTCAATGTCTTTGATGATCTGAATGAATTTCTGGCTGTGAAAATCTAATGCTTTTAAATCTTTGCGCTGAAAGGCAGTCACTGCTTTCAGGTATACATCATTTCCTAGCTTTGAAAGTACTTGCCGAGTTAAATCAACCAAATCGTACCTGATGTTGGACGAACCAATCAGCCAAGTTTATATTATGCAAGTATGCAACTGTAATCCCATTTCTACTATAATTAGTCTAGAAAATCGGTTTCTGTACAAAGCATTTCAGTTCTACAGATAATACTGATGTATCTATCGTTTAAGATAGAGAAAAAAGTTACTCCGGAGTATGTTGCCAAGTAATTCCACAATTTTTATGTTGAAAATTCTGCAACTCAAGATTACTTTTACCAGCCTAAATTTTAGACCCTTAATCTCTGCTAAGCTCAATTGTAAAAAAAATAAATAAAAAAAAAATACTCAGTTAGAAAAAGATCTATTTAAGTTAAAATCAGTTTAAACCAAGAAAAATAAGTTTCATTCAATACAAGTCAGTAAAAATCACAAAACCAATGACTATGTCCTCATGTAACAAAAGATACTAGTGTCAGTGAATCAGTATAATCAGTTTTAATTAATAAAATAAAGTCAATTTCAATTGGCAAAAATAAGTTTTAATTAGTAAAAATCAATTTAGTCATTAAATAGAATTTCAATTCATTATAAAAATAAAAATAAAAAAGCAAACAAAGATACATTTTTTCAGCACTCCCCCTCACTTGTGAGTGTCCAGGCCCCTTAACCAGTGGCTTGACAAAGCCCCATGATAAATTTCGAAACAATATGAAATGGGCTTGGGCAACCCGAACAAGGAGGAGGGGAGTTTGGTTCACAATCAAGCCTTTGGAGCTTCCATACTATAACCAATTGGCAATAATAGGAGTAACTCCTCTACCTTATAAAGTAGAACCACCTCTCCTCTTTTTCCAATGTGGGACACTCACAAGTGGGCTACAATGGGTTTCAACATTTCGTATATATTTCAGAATTATAGGACAAGTGACCGGACAAAAAAAAAGAAAAATTCTGATAGAAGTAAACCTGAAAGTAAGACTTCCAACAAGGTACTTCCCTGCATCAAGAAACAGATGTAAAGCTGTAATTACTTCCTCAGTTGGATACCAGATATGCGGCGATGGCAAGGAACGCGGTGACTCAAGCAAAAACTTGCCTCATACTTTTGTGTAAGATGAGAAGATTTTCTTTCTCATATTCTCTGGTGACATCTAGTGTCGCGTTGTTTACAGGATCCCAATCAGGAAACTTAACAATATAATCCATTGTGTGATCCTGAACAATGGAAAAAGGTTGAAAACATGCCAAATATCAACTATTGTAAAAGGAGTATGAAATCATCTCAACACTGATAAGCATTACATCACATTAGCATTAGATGTTCTGATTCATATTCGATCTGCACATTAAGACGAATACTGTGAAATGCTGAATCATTGTTGCATGAACCTTTGTACAGAAACCAGCTACACTAACAGGTATAAAGAACAAATGACTTACTCCAATCATATCTGTACAGTTGTAAATGGTGTGGTAGAGAATTTCCCAAGCAGTCTCTAGTTGATGAATAGCTTTACCGTAGCGCCTACGAGAGTAAGTTTTAATCCATTCCTGTGTGAAAATAATAATCAGTTAAACAAAAGTTTTTTAGAAAAAAATACCACAAACAAATAGTATATAAATTCAGAACCATCTCTGAGGGCAAAAGTCCTGAATTCTGGGGATATATATGACTGGAAATCTATCCGAAAAACGAGGACAACAAGTGAAAGATGCTTATTCAACATCCTTTCAAAGAGAGGTGTTAAAATTGAGGATTCCCAGCAGGAATTATGCAATCAATTCGACGTACAAGTTTTGAGATGAGATCGATGTGAGGACAAGACAGCATCAGAAGAAATGCAAAATAACAGATTTTTATTGTATCATATGAGGGTTTCCAGTATTAGAAAGATAAATGCTATAGTTCTCTAAGTAATATTTATGACAGAAATCTTCAATTTATAATTTGGGTTTGGTACTATATTTCTATGTGAGGGTTGCCTGTAGGATGACTTACTCATCAAACATGGCTGTTATGGTGAGATCAAAGAAAAATTACCTTCAGCAGCAGAAAAGAATTAACACAAAATTATAATTACAACAGGTACAAGCATCGAATATGGGTACATATTCAAGTGTCCGTTCAAGGCTCAATTTCTGAATACAGAGACCCTGTCCTAGAATTGGGGATCAGAGTATATTTGCTTCAAATTTTGTAATCTAAGATGAATCCCTAGACACAACCTAAGTGTCCTTGGGCATTTGAGATCTGGAAGTTATAAAAACACATTATCTGTAAGTACATAGGAATTACATCTATTCACCTACCACAAGTTCGACCTTTTCATTTCGATAAGCCATTTCAGACATGAGTTCATACATAACTGGATTCTGCTCTATTCCTTCCATGCACATACCAACACCAACCTAGGTGCATCATGTAACAAGATATGAATATCAGGACACACAAACTTTTATAGTCAGTAAAGCTGAGTTTATGATAATAGAAATCATACAATTGTTGAATTTTTGCTACTTCGAGCATTAACCGGCCCAGAAGATATGGAGTCCAGTAAACCATACATATCCATATTTCCACCAAAGTTGTGAAGCATGCACCTGCTAACGAAAAATTACAGAAATTAACAAAGATTTAATGCAGTTCACTGATTGATGATGACTTGCCTAGTAAAAAAGGTTACCAGATATAAGGAGTGCCATAGAATTGAGAAGACTTTTCCCATATGGGCTTTACATCTGCAAATAGATGAAGAACTATCATCTTCCCTTTTGGGACAGAATGAAGAAGAGCCTAGATTGAAGAAAGGTGTCAAAATTCACAGCAAAGAGACAGCATGCAAAAATCTTTCTGTTTGATTCAACAAAGTATTCGAAAAGTAAGGAGCAACAGCTTGAGTAAATATCCAGAAAGAAAATTCATGAACTCAAATCAAGACTCATAAACATACTTCCATTTGAGGCTGCTTCCAAATATTTGAAAGTGAATAGAAGAGCCATCCCTACAACAAAAAGTTTTTTTTTTTTTAAAAAAAAAAAAAAAAAAAGAGCAAAGGGATTGCACAATTACTAGCAGAATAGATAGGTTAAGCCTGCACTATATGAACAAATATAGAGTCTTTGTTGATTTGAAATTTTATATGCAAACATACAATTATATAGTAAATGATAGCAAACCGTATGTCGGGTTTCAGCACTTGGTTTATATATAGTCCTTTTTAGACTTCATGATGAATCAGTTAAATGACAAGCTCATATAGAGTTTATAGACCAGTCACTTGCTAGTTGCACTCATCACCATCTTCAGTCCCCTATTCTTCTCTTTTTCCAAAAGAACATAAATACTCAGCTCGAATTTCCTGGGATTGGATATGAAGGCTAACATGCCATGAACAACTGCTATCTGGATGAAGTAACAAGAGGAGACTGAATTGTATTAAAATTGTCTACAATTTGT